TTATTGCATCTGACAGGCAGAAAAAAGGAAAGGCTCGCCAGCGAATCTTGACCGTATGTGCACCATGTCGTGTTTGCCAGCCTGCCGGAGACGTTCATTGAGCCCAGTAGCTCTGCCCAGGAAGATTTGAAGATCTGGAGCAGCAGGCACCACAAATTACGGATTTGGATTAGTTTTGCGTGATTGTGTTTGGGCGGATAGTTCACGTGGATACTGGCATGACTGTGGTCTCGATATGTCTCGATCGCAAACTCCAGCCGAATAGTTTTTTGATCAGCACGTCCCCAACCCACGTCCCAGTGTGTGCTAGCGAGAAATCCCTATGACCGTGCACGTTCACCGTGCACAGAAACACATGTCGCCTCACCTGAGGCGACTGCCTTCAACCGGAGCAGTGAGCTAGACTCGATCGTGATCACTCCAGGTCCACGCTTGGACGCCCGACGGTGTTCAGCGAAAGTGGAGAGAAGTTGAGCATTTGTCAGCGCGCGGCTTTCTGAATGTTGTGGGCCCTGTGCTGAGAAGGCCAATGAGCCGGTGATCACCGCCAAGAACCTCTCAAAGGACTGGACGCGCCCTCAATTTCTTGCCAGAGCTTAGAGTCTTGGAAGGGCTACGGCGACCGGCTTCTCATCAACGAAGCCAGCTTCGAGCATCTCGGCGATGGCACGTTGTGCGCTCCCGGGTCAACCTGTCCTTTGCCGTGCATTCCCAGGTCACTGTGCACCTGCACTAAGGATACCGCCAGGTGCCGTGGTTGGTATCATCGGTCCCAATGGTGCCGGAAAGACTACGCTCTTCAAGATGATCATGGGCAAGGCGGGAAAAAGTACGATGGGCTGGGCAATGCTTCCATTGCCTGCCCTCTGCTCTTCCAGTGGCCTCCGATGACCAAGCTAGTCTCGTGTTGTCCTGATGTTTTGTCGAGGAGCAGCCTGACGGTGGTGAGCTCTTGATCGGAAAGACTGTGGCACCCATGTATGTTGAGCAAATGCGTGATGATCTGGATGGTGATGCGACCGTCTTCGAGGAGCTGACGGATGGCTTGGATGCTATTGATATTGGTGGCCGAGAGGTGAACAGCCGGGCTTACTGCTCCTGGTTCAATTTCAGGGGTAAGATCCAGCAGCGCACGGTCTCATCCCTCAGTGGTGGGGAGCGAAATCGCCTGCAGCTCGCTCGGACACTGCGACTAGGTGGCAACTGCTTGATGCTGGATGAGCCGTCGAACGATCTGGACGTGGAAACCTTGAGGGCGCTAGAGACGGCCATCGAGAATTTCGCAGGCACCGTCCTCTGCGTGAGCCACGATCGCTGGTTCCTGGATCGTATTGCCACTCACATCATCGCCTACGAAGGTGACTCTCAAGTTGCTGGGCTTTTAGCCTAAGAGGTGCTTTCTTGTTGCAGCTCGTGACGCAAGCACGCTTCCTTCAGGTTGTATTTTTCGAGGGCGGCTACAGCGACTATGAGGAAGATCGCTTCCAGAGAACAGGAGTGAGAGACCCCACAAAGATTAAATACAAGCCCATGCCGACCTTCGCCTGAGACACAAGGGCCACGGTTCGGGGTGTTGGGGGGGCAGACGGCTGAAGTCCGGCTGAAGTGCTGACCACGTGCTGAGAGTTGCTCAGGGCACGAAAAGCGTTGCCCAAATTTTCCATCGGGCGGTGAGCAGCTGGGCCCTTTGCAGCCGCTGCTCCGCTGTTCCAATGCCTGGCTGCAGCGCTTTCAAACACTTTCCATTGCCCGGCTAATCCAGGATGTAGCACAAGACGTGGTGATAAGTCGCAGACTTGGCAAGCGAAGGCAGACAAGCATGCGAGCGGCAATTACGAAGTGCTGACCAAGTGTTAAGACGTTATCCGTGCTGCTGTTTGCCACATTGGGAAGAGTAGATTTTGCCCAGCGCCTTCGCCAGATTTGGCAGGCCCCTACGCACCACCAGCTACTGGAGGCTTGCTTGAGCCATGCGTTCAAGTTCATGCAGATGCACAATTCACAGCTTGGCTACATAGTCATAGTCAGCATGAAGAACCCAGAATCCCACTTAGGGGCTGCTTGGAGAACTCGGAAGATCAAGACTTTCCACGTGAAAACAGCTAGTGCGATCAGTGCACGCTGCAAGGTCCATATGGCCGGGATGCTCGGCATGGAGGGTTTAGGCGTCCCTGGATCCGAGAGTTCCTCCCGCCTTCCCAAGGTGCACCGGTTGCAGCCAACGGCCGGTGAGCAGCCAAGAGAGTCGCAGGGCGTGCAGCTCGGCTCGCCTGTATTGGCTTGTTTTCTGGACTGAGGCCTTCAAGCCGAAGCTATAGCTACAGCTACAGCCGCAGCACAGGCCTGAGAGCCCTCCCAGGGATGAGCGTCTTCTCGAGATGCACACCGCAAGGAAACGAAGATGTATATATTCCAGTAAGCCCGACCCTTTGTTCCGACCGTGCTTTCACGGAACTGGGAAGGAGCCCGACAGGAGGCTTCGTAGCATCGACTCTCGTTGTCTCGCAGATTGCGATGCCATATGTTGAGGCCACCCTGCAAAATCAACTCGAATCTGTGTATGGAGTAGGCGATGGCTGCAGCCCTTCTGAGGTCGAAGTGACAGCCGCAGACACAGCATGTGCCCCAGAACTCTAAACTTTCTCCTGTATCGTCGTGTGCAGGATGATCTTCGCTGTTGTTTCGCTTAGGGCTTAGGGTCTAAGGGAGTTGCAAAAACTCCCAGCTCAATGAGGAACTCTTGCTCAATACTCCTACTTGGTCATTGTTGAAGGGCGGCAGACGCAGGAGGGCAGAATTTCAGCACAGCAGGTCGCAGCAGCCGCAGCCGGAGTCGAAAGCGGAAGGCCTCGCTCGCTCGCTGGGTCGGGCAGAGTATCGCTGCATGCCGCATACTCACTCATCGTGAGGAGATAGACAAAAAAGAGAAGAAGGACAAGAAGGAGAAGGAGAAGAAGGAGAAGGAGAGGGAGAAGGCGAAAGAGAAAGAAAAAGACAAAGACAAGGATAAAGAGAAGGACAAAAAGGGGAAGAAAGACAAGAAAGACAAGGTTCGGACGAAAGCTCGCATTTGTGATCAGTAAGGAATGTATTTCTCTGTCCGGCTCCGCCAAACAGGCGAAAGAGAAGGACAAAGACGTCGAGAAAGCCAAGGAAAAGGACAAAGAGAAGAAGGTTCCTGGCTTATTTCCTTCCTCTCTGTCAGCTGGACACGTCCACAAGACTGGAAAGCAATTTTGCTTTGAGCAGCGGCACAGAGGATCCCAGCATGTTCAATGTTCTCCGGCTACGCTCAGGCCAAGAAGGAGAAAAAGCGATAGCTTCGAGGCTGGAATGTTCTCTTCCGGATCACTGTGTCACTTATTTGCGGCTGTTTTGAGACTTGCAGCAGGATGGCCGGTAGTGCTGCGACCTGCCCGGACTCCGGCTGGACGGCCTGCAGATGAGCTGCTTCTCACGTCGAAGTATGCGTAACCCGGAGCCCGAAGCTTGCAGACACATTTCCCGAACAAGGCCTAGGCTTGTTCTTCAAGTACTGCAGCAGTGTTAAACTCAATAGGCTTCAAACCGCTTCCCAGCGACCTAGCGCTGCCAATGGGTGCCTCTTGTGGCGTCTGCCCATCCTACCGGAGTGGCTCCCCCAGGATCAAAACGGACAGAACCCCTTAAACCCGAAGCAAGCAGACGCCACGATGGGTGCGTGGCCTGGATGTGGCTTCGGGAGCTCCAGACAGCCAGAAAAAAGGTGCAAGTTGAGCCGTTCCCTTTGTGCCTTGGCAGCTCTCATGCGTTGGAAGACCTGTTATGCCCTGAACCTGCTGCACGTTGGATTCACTGGATACAATGTAGCCACTTCACAGGAAGTGAGATAGCAGGGAAGCGGGCTGCCTTGGAGTCACAGCCAATTTCCGTGGTACCAGTTTGCAGCAGATGCTAGCTTTTACGATCCCACGAAACGCGCGAACATGGTCTGACCAGATTTTCGCAGGCAGCTGGGCCCCACAGCATCTACCAGTTGTCAAGACACATGTTCAGTGTGGAACAAGATGTTTGTTGCTAGTTTCTGTCCCTGCCTCGTACTAAGGCGGGAAAGCCTAGAATGCTCGCGCAGATGTTCTCGCAGGTTATCGTCCTAGCCCACCAGAGTAGAGTTTGTGTGCAGGGAAATCGGACTCGCTGAGCGCATTGCATCCAGCGGGCAGTCCCACAGTCCAGGCGAAACTGGATGCGATGGAGCGGACTCCAGGCATTGGCGCAAGCACAGATAAAGCTGCCATCTTCGCGTGGCTCTTCTGTGCATCTTCGTAAGTTTTTCGCAGGCGGTTCGCGCCGCCTCGCAGATTTCAAGCCTGGGTCAAGGCATGCAATAAGTAACACAAATGTGGACAGCTGAGCTGCAGCGAACTGGACCGAAGCACCAGGTCCACCCAAAGCTTGGACGAAACGACCGTAGGCGCGATGCTTTGACGTGCCCTTGTGTTGTCATGCGAAGCTCGCATAGTGACATGGTGGCACGGTTTTGATGCTACGGACATCTCTTACGCATGGATACGGATGGCATTCATATGGAAAGTGCTCAATGTTTGCATTTGCGCAGTTGAACTGGTAAGCACAGAAGCTCGCATAGTGACATGGTGGCACGGTTTTGATGCTACGTGGACATCTCTTACGCATGGATACGGGTGGCATTCATATGGAAAGTGCTCACTGTTTGCATTTGCGCAGTTGAACTGGTAAGCACAGAAGCTCGCATAGTGACATGGTGGCACGGTTTTGATGCTACGTGGACATCTCTTACGCATGGATACGGGTGGCATTCATATGGAAAGTGCTCACTGTTTGCATTTGCGCAGTTGAACTGGTAAGCAGGCCGGCGTGTTGGGCAGTATAATTGCGAAATGCAGAGAAGCGTGAGAATCCTGAGAGTCGTCTTCCTTCATGATTCGGTGGTGCGGCCAAGCATTGCACGGTTGCGTGCTGGGGATGGCATGAATGAAGACATGAGCAAACTAGGCACAGGCGAAGACTGGACATTCACCTCGCCGATACGCCGGGCAGCAGAGCGGCAATTAGCATGTCGCTGAACACAGCATGGGGCAGGTATCTGACAATGACCACAGAGCTCAGAGTGTGTTTACATCAGGCCCTCCATCGAGAGTTCCAGACCCTGGAGCCTGTGATTGGACAGGACGGTGCCGCACTGTCACGCTCAGCGCATTATCCTTGCTGGGAGGAGCCCCTCACGACCAGTGTGGCATCAAGTCAGTCTGGCCATGACCCCGGAAAAGACTCGAGGAAGTACGTTTGGGACCGGAGTCTAGGACAGATCCTGATCGTCAGGTTCTCCCCCCTCCGAGAAGAAGGCACTTCTTGTGGCCTGGACTGCATTTAATGTAAGGCACTTCTGAAACCTGACAGAAAGCAGGCAGGCAGCCAAGTTTTGTCATGTTCTGCCTCCGAGGCATACTCCCAATGCTTGGAAAGCCGCCTGCGAGCCATGACCGGCGAGAACCGAGGCACTTTGTTCATGGAGAATCGCTTCAAACCTTTGCAGTGTCCCGATTGCAGGCTTAAGGCTGCAGTTGCAAGACGAGGAGGCTCTGCCAGCTCTGTCATTGCTGTGCAAATCGAGATGCAAGCCGCTGCAAGCTCTTCAGCTTCATCGTAACTTTTTCTTTTGATGACTTTCATCTTCAGACTATGTTTTTGCATCGAGCGGGACATGGAATGAAGCTGAGCCCGGGCGATGTTCGAGAATGCTTGACGCGACCCGAATCCTGGCAGATGATGAAGCAGCAGACGTCAGAGGTATTATGTCCAGCGAAGGTGTCATTGAATCAATTCGGAATCTGGAGAGCACAAGCGGAAGTGTCAAGCAACACAGATGGTTGAAGATGTCAAGAGAAGACAAGCCCGTGGCGCTTCAAGAGGATTCTGCGAGTGCTAAGGCAACACCCCGAAAGGTTCCCGTCGCATCTTTTGCGCGTGTCAGATCTTGGATCCATTGGGTTTCAATGTCGTGTCTGTGAGGCCCGCTTCGCTCAGCTGCACTCGAGCATCAAAAAGGATACAGAGTTCGAGTTGGGGCCCAACCAACCGCTCCTTCGAGTCTCCGCAGCACAGGATTCATTTACAACACCAGCCAGTGCTGTTCCACCGCTTCGCTTAAGCGCTGCTTCAGGCTACGCCTGAGGGCGAAAACAAAGCAGCTCAACACGCGGATGAAGGCAGTGGCCCTTCAACTGCAGCCGGCCTGGTCAATAGTATGGCTCAGTATAACGGAACCCCAGAACTCGGGAAGCTGACGGTTGGCTGTTATGATTCTTTAATCATGAGAGCCCTGCCTACGTCCAGCAACCTCGACCACGACGATCCCCTTAGATCAACATTGCCTGCCTAAGCCACTCAGCAGCTACCAGGGTCTAGTAGGTTTCTTTAGCTACTGTTAGCTGTTGGTTATGGGCCTGGTGTGCTGCAAAAGAAGCTCTTTTCGTTCTCGATCCCGGTCCGAGCACGGCATAGCAGGCCAGAGACAGAGTCTGGCACTGAGTGAATTGCACTTGTCTGCTCGAAGCTCGAAGATGGCATGCTGCTTACACCGCGCTCTGCGACACTAGAGAGCATTCGGCAGCAGACAACCTTCCTGACCTTCTCATGCTGAACGACAGCTTCAATTTGGCTTGCCCCAGGTTGGAGTCTTGTTTGATGCTTGGTCACGAGTCACCTCGAGAGCAGCGGGCCCAGCTGCTTTGGTGCTGTTCAGCAATACCGGCTTTCCCCACGCAGGCAGGAACGCGCTTTTGGGCGTCCAGTTGGCGTTGAATTGTGCTCCTGTGTTCCCGAATGTCTTAGAGCGAGAATGCTGACAAGGCCCGAGGGAACCCGAACTGACCTGCGATTCATTCCTACTGAATCCTGTTGGAATACTAGAACTCCAAAGCTCGGGTCAACCGAACTGAAATTCTCCTCTCCATTCCGAGCAGACCAGACCTCCTGTGTCTGCGAACCAGTGAAGCCCATCAGACGACGCAAACTCAGAACAACAGCATACAAGCGCTGTGCCAGGCTTGGCGAGACAGGCCGGGCAATTGGCAGCGAAGCTGTGAGCCGTAAAAGGTTGCTGGCTGATCTTCGCATACATTAGGAGATAAATGTTTGCGGCACCTGCTGCATGACAGCACGCGGAAATCAAGACCAATTTGCAGGTGCATCACTGCCGAGCATGAATTGGCTGCCCTGCGGTCTGGAGGACAGCGGCGCGCCGTGACAAGTTGCGTGTAATGCAATGCCGTACCATCCCACGGCAGCAAAAAGTCGTCCGTGTCGGTGCTTGCGGCGGTTGGGGGAGAAACTACTGTTAATTTTGGAGAGGCTTGGATCTACGAGATCGCCAGCGAGCGGAGGAGGCAAAGACGTGGGCACAATGTGAAATTTCACGTGTGGACGTGCGCCCTGGGGCTTGGGGTGCCCAAGTCTTGGGACGACTCGGATTCCGTGCCACGGCATGTAGGCCACGGTAGGCATCGTGGATGCCATCGTTGCCGAGGCCGAACGCGCGGTCCTGGAAATGAAGGCCTGGTGCCCAGCAGGGCCCCAGCGCGGTCTCCGTCACGTAACATCGATCGACCAATCCTTCTTTGCTCTTTGCTTGACATCCGGAAGGACGGAGGCTGAGGCAGAGCTGGCAGAGCTTCTAGGTGAAACCATGTCACTTGCAAAATGCTTTCGCCATGAATGCTGTAGCTACGTGTTCCCCAGCCCTGTGGCTGAGGCAGCTCTCCGGCGTCAGCATCAGGTCTTCACGCAGGAGAGGTCTGAGGCCAGAACTTGAGATAGATTGCCGATTACTCGTCACATGCGGCGTAGCTGAGCGAAGGCGCAGGGTGTCCAGCGCCAATCTGCAGCTTTGCAGGCCAGCTCCGAGCAGGCAGCCTTCCGTGTAGGGAGGGGCACTGTTGAGGAAGTTAATGAAGTTCTACCGTTCTACCGCTTCTGTTGCTGTGCTAGCAGCATCTAGCAGCTAGCATTGAACTTGATTCTGAGCGGGGCCGCGTGCGACGGCTGCTGCTTCTCTGTAAATATCTTGTTCACTGATTGGGCCATTGCTTCTGATTGATGGTTCTACTGTCGTTGTACCGGTGCAGTAGCTGTTGAGCCAGTTCATTTGCTGGGAGCGTTGCCACAGATGCTCGTGCTCGGAGTTCGACCGCCGGCCTGTTGTAGTAGGGTCAAGGTGCCGGCGCCCACCGGCTGAGCTTGGGTTGCAAAGGGATTGAGCACGGCTGTGCGACTGCTTTTGCAAGTACGCCTAGCTGCTCGTCTTTGTCGTCGTCTTCCTCGTCGTCGTGGAAGCATCAGCAGCAGCAGGAGGAGGAGTAGAAGTAGTAGTAGCAGTAGTACTACGTACTAGTAGTAGGAAGAAGGTAGCAGTCAGTAGTTAGCAATTAGTAAGTAGCTAGTAGTTAGTAGTTAGCATTGCCTAAGTAGTAGTTAGTACTCAGCTTTGCCCATGGGAAAAAAGTAGTAGTTAGTAGTAGTAGCAGTAGTAGTAGTCGTCGTCGTAGTAGTCGTCGTAGTAGTCGTAGTGGTAGTGGCAGTGGTAGTCGTAGTCGTAGTAGCAGTAGTAGTCGTCGTCGTCGTAGTCGTAGTCGTAGTCGTAGTCGTAGTCGTAGTCGTAGTCGTAGTAGTAGTAGTAGTAGTAGTAGTAGTAGTAGTAGTAGTAGGAGTAGTAGTAGTAGTAGTAGTATAGTAGTAGTAGTAGTAGTAGTAGTAGTAGTAGTAGTAGTACTACTACTACTACTACTACTACTACTACTACTACTACTACTACTAGTACGAGCAGCAGTGGTAGTAGTAGTAGTAGGAGTAGGAGTAGGTGCGAACGGACTGCGATGCCTTGTCATGTTCTAAGGTGTCACTATAAGAGCTGTGAGCAAGACCGTGTAAAGTGCAAGAGAAGGGGGCACGCTACGCGTCTCTCGACTCTAGGGGGCATGCTACGCATCCCTCATCTTTACCTTTCTATGTGACCGCCAACGCAACGTTTGGCTCAAGTCAATGCCCATAGCTAAGTGCTATATGTGTCTTCTATCCTGAGCAATCAGAGCTATCCCGTTGCACAGACGAACCGCCGCCGGCAGTGAGTGCAAAAGGAACGGCCGCCGGTTCTGCCTGCATAGGATTGCACGTGTGGAAGTGTGAGAGAGACAGGGTCCAGTCTGTGGAGAGTGCAAGCCAGCCACACCTACATTCTTTACAGCTCTGGTGGGGAGAGCAGCAACCTAGTCGAGATCAATCCCCCACGCAGGTTATCAGCCGTACGCGGCTCTGCCTTTCTACAGCGACGACTACTTGATCTACTACGACCACAATGAACTCAGGATCAAGTCAAGATACGACAATGACTTTCGGTGCCGATGTGGCAGCGCCAGCCGTTGGTGAGTCAACAGCTGATGACACAGTGGTGCAATCCGTTGATAGCTCCACGGCAGATGACAAAGGTCAATCTTCTGCGCTTGCCATTGCAAAGGCAGTTCCCAAGGTGAAAGCAAAGAGTCTACCAAGAGCATCTACGCCTTCACGTCCGACATCCACAGGTTCGAGGACGGGCAAGGCTTCAGAACGACGGGCCGAAGCGTCTGGTTTTCAGGCACCTCGGACTACGTCCAGGGCCAAGGACAAAGGAGTCAAGACCTTGGAAAAGAAGTCAAGACCATCATCTTCGAGAAGCTCTTCAGCACGATCGAGGACTTCGGCTACTCGTGGGCGTGACAAGTCCATGACTTGGAATCGGATGGTTACCAATCAACCACGCGATACTGACGATCTGGACATGACTCTGGATACGATTCCTGCACGTGGTGATGCGTCATCCGTGGCCACGCCTGCAATAGCTGACGGTCCGAATGCCTACCAGGAACTGACGATTTCGCAACAGTTCGAAGCATCGAACCTTGCACAGCAGATGTACTATCGCAGTCAGGTGCAAGAATACGAAGGAATCGTCCAGACCTTGATGGACAAGATCAAGGAGATGCAACAAGAAGATGAAGGATCTGGAATTCGCATTGAGGAATTGGAACGACAACGTGATCATGCATGCTTAGCCATGAGGCACATCAACAATGTCAATCAGGAGATGAAGCGAGACTATGAAACAGCTTTGTTTCGCATGGATGAACAGAACTCTGCTCAACAACGTCAAGCACATGCCGTTGCCGAGGAGTTAGCTCAACAGCTACACGTGTTCCGCACGGAGGCAGCCACCAACTTTGTGCAGTTGGAGGCAAGAGCGCAAGGCGATGGTGAGCTGATGGCACGTGAGTATGAGCGTCTGACTCATGAACTTCATGAACACGCCAGAGAGAACTTGGTCCTCCGGTCAAACACAGCAAGTTCGGAACAAGCCTTACAAGCAATGCAGGAACGATTCCACTTGGTCAAGAACCAGGAGTTGCGGGCTGTGAACGAGATCCAAGGGCTAGCTGGAAACAGCGCAGCCATTGATCAAGAACGATTTCGGCTTCGCGAACGTCTTGGTGAAGAGGAAGAGTACCGCAAAATGGCTGTGAAGAGGATGCAAGAAGCAGAGGACCGACTTCATCAGAATGAAGATCATGCAAGGCGATCATTGCCTACCTTGCACGACGAGCTGAGTGAACTCAGGAAAACGCTCAAAGCACAAGAAGATCTTCAAGCGAGGACACGCAGCGAATTGGAGGCAGCGCGAAACTCCACTCAAGGAGGAGCGACGCGACCTTCGAGCATGCCCATGTCTTCGAGGACTACTGAGTCTGGCTGGGAGCACGTAGGAAAGGATGTAATGCCTGCATTTTCCGTAGGAGATGAGGTACGATCCCCTGAAATACGGTCCCCAAGTCAAGTTAGTCCAGTCGCCAAAGAGAAGTTCGCATTCTCGGAATCGGACAAGGACAAGAACCTTGTGATGGATGGAATTCCATTCACCGGTGGAAACTTCTTCACTGGCCGCAGTTCAATGCCAATCGTGGCGGATGCAATGCCCGAGCACTACGTGCCAGGTATTAGCAGCCCAGCACTTGCGCGTTCCACGCCTAGTGCAGCCACTTTGTTTGGCATACCAAGCGGATTTCATGGGAAAAGTGATGCGGCAGCCGTGCGTGATCGACAGCTACGCGAACTCTTGGGGGATCGCGGGATGTTGGGATCGAAGTCCACAGCATCGGCCAGCTCCTCGAGACCTGTTGGCATCGACGGTGTCACCGCATCTACTAAGGGCAACGACCTCGTTGGTCCCCCTGTCGCCTATGACGATTCCATCCATGAGGCAAGGAGGCGTCAGATCGAAAAAGAGATCGCGGAACAGTACGAGGAGAAGATTGCTGATCTGCGAAGTGAAGTACTCAAGGCTCAGAAAGCCGAACAACGTCTCAGAGCTGATCGTGATGAGTGGAGATTATTCGCTGAAACGATTCAGGAAAACAATGGAGACGATGACGGTGATGAAGCTGGCGACGAGAACGGAGAGGAAGAGCATGATGAAGGTACCGGCACGGGGTATGATCCTCCAGATCCGCCTGATGATGATGATGACAAGAAGAAAGGCGGAGGGGGCAAACCTGAATCGGATCCTGGCTCACATGCGCGTGATCCTGATGGAGACGCGGATCCTGAAGTCACAGAGGTGAGAATTTCCAGGAGGGAAGCCGACAAAGTGACCGTTCCTCCATGGCCTACTCTCACTCATCTCAACAACTGGCGATCCGTGTGCACGGCCAATGTCTTAGGGGCATCAGCCGACCCACATCATGAGGACTGGATGTTATGGCTGGCACCAGCGTTCAACCCATTCCCTGATGTCGAAGCATTGAATGATTCAGGACACAAGAAGTTCAAGAGCATAGACGTCAAATTGGGGATCGCCATGGTCGCAATGCTACGTGCCGGTGGTGACAAATCAGCTGACCTGTACCTCGAGGTGAACCGGAAGGCCAACGATTACATCAGCAGGCCTGACGTGAAGATCATCAAAGGACGACAAGTCATCGCGATGATGTACGAAAGTTTTCGAACGCATGATCGTCTTGACATGATCATCACTCTTGAGTATTTGGTGAAGCTCCAGTACCAAGGCGACAACAAGCTCCATACATTCAAGCAGACGTGGTTGGAAGTTCTGGGACGGATGAGACCAGAGGACATTCCATCCAAAACAGCTCTCCGTGATTGCTTGTACAGCAAGATCAAGGACTCGCCCGCAATGAAGATGGACTTGGGCATGCATTACGAACACTTGCCCTACAATCATGAAGACCGATCGTACGACAACCTGATGAAGATCATTGATCGTACTATCATGCGGAGACGAGAACAGTCAAATCTAACTCAGACCCAAATTGGCTTGCGCCAGATGCTTGAGGGCAAGGATTTGCTTGCTGCACCGGCCAAGGTACCTGAGAAACCAACGCCTAACGCAGCTCCATCCGCAACGGTCAAGGCTTCGCCGACCAAGCCGGATAAAGCAACACCTGTACTACCTCAAAGCAAAGCGAAGAGTCATGCGAAGACCAAGCCGAAGCCCAAGAAGAAGACGAGGAGTGAGTCAGCGGACAACAGAGGTGACAAAAGCAAGAAGCAAATCCACTGCAAGTTCCATTTCACAGATGCAGGGTGTCGAAATGGCGATAAGTGTCCATTCAGTCACTCGAAGAAGACTCCAGAGCGACCCTTCACGCCGAGGACGAGAACTCCAAGTCCATCTGGAGGAGGAGGAAACAGGATATGCTACTCGTTCAAGAACACAGGCTTTTCAAGCATGAGGCAGCAGCTACCCCAGCTCCGGAACCAAAGGCAAAAGCTAAAGCTAAATCCGAAGCGAAGGCAGCTCCAGCGAAGCCGAATGCCAAGGCCAAGGCACTCCCTGCGGCACCCGCCATCAGATTGTGTCGA